CATTTGACAAAGAAAAAATTCATATATTTTACTTTTAAAATTCTATCATTTCTTTATATGGAGCTCTCCTTTTAAAGGAGATTGAAAAAGTCTAAAAATGGCTGCCACCCCCTAGCCTCGTTAAGCATGAAAAATCATCATTTGTAAATATTATCTCATTGTATTTCTTTTCGAAAATAAAATTAAGATCTGGGAATGAACTTTCTTAACACCCTTTATGAAATAAGGAACCCACATTTAATTCTACAACTGACAATCCAATGTATACTCCTAGCTACCTTTCTACGGAGAAAACCCATCAAATCATATGTCAGTTTTGAAAATTGTTAAAATTACAGACAACCAGTATGATCATCAATTACCACATCTATATAAGATAACAAAACTTCATTAATATCCTCCCAAGCAAAGATACATAGCGGCTTACAGTAAGTGTTCTACTAACCTCTTTTTTAAGATATTAACAATATTGAAGGACGCACTTCAACAGCACTGCTCAACAAGATATTCGAGAAGAGGAGTTCATCTGATAAACATGTATTAAACTATTTCAAGGAACTATTCGAACATTTCAAATCACAAAATGTTACAAAATCAACAGTTTTCATCTATATATACAATTCTTCACCACAACAATTATAAAGTCCAGGCTTTCTTACTTCATTGACAGTTGTTTATCAATAATAAAATAGCGAGCGTAAATTTATTTACTTAAATAGGTTGTAAATACAATATTTACTTATTGAACTTGTAAGTTTATTACTTACCTTGTCAATGATCATTTTCAAAACTACTTTGTTAGACAATATTCTGAATGTACACAAAATACTTTGAATTTGATATTCAAAGATGCTCGAAATTCTTATTGACAGTATTTATGTGGTTTTCGCAGACCAGTTCTTTCAAACAATCTAATAGATTTCACCTGAGTACCATTTGAACATAGAAAAGATGCTTGAGTTTCCGATTGACAATATATTTTGTTTTTGGAGACCAGGTATTTCAATAAATTTATAGGAATTCCCATGGATACCTATTGCGCCCCTTAATAAGCAGTCCTCTTTTTGTTTTCACGTTAAGCAAAAATTGTGCAAAATTTTATGTGTGATACTAACCTGCAACGTAAGGATCAACCCCTTTCATCCAAAACTCCAAAGCAATTGTGCTATTACACAGGCAACGCAATTATTTTTTTTTTAAATATTATTTATATATATACGCTCATAATCTAAGGTATAGATGTGTCAGACTCTGTGGTATCTTTTATCTCAAGCTCTCCTGGATATATCGTATCGACGTAGGAATGGAAATTACCATTGTTAATTGACAATACGTCGTAGATATATCTGAAGGTCGAGTTGAAGGCCACAGCAAGTGTTTTCTTCTTTTCACGCATGAAATTTTGCATAAATTCTGCTTAATATGAATACAAAAATAGGTCTGCTAAAAACGGAGTGCAATTGGTTCCCATGGGAATTCCAATAGATTGTTGGAAGACCTGGTCTCCAAAAGCCACATAGATATTGTCAATCAGAAACTCAAGCATCTTCTTGATGTCAACTTCAGAGTACTTTTGTGTGCAATCAGAATCTTTTTTAACAAAATAATTTTGCAAATGACCAATGACAAGGTAAGTAAATGTACGAGTTCCATTTTTATTGAAAAAAGCAGCTGTCAATGATATAAAAAGAAACCTGGATTTTAATTTATCGTGGGGAATGGTTGTGTATAAAGTTGAAAAGTCGTTTTTAAGTTTTTAAGCTGTTGATTTTGGTAAAATCTTGTGATCTCAAATTGTCTCAAAGTTCTTTTGAATTATTTAGTATCCACATCTGATTCACACCATTTCTTAAAAATATATGGTAAAACAGTACTGTTGAAGTTTTTCCTTCACTACTGTCAATATCTTAGTGAGGAGTAACGAAGGAAGATTGGTTAAATATTTACTAGAACCCGCAATATATCTTTGTTTGTAAGGATTCTTATGAAGTTTCGCACTCCAATATATATAAGGTAGTTCAAATTCATTTTGGTTCTGAGGAATATTAAAAATATTCAAAACTGACATATGATTTTGAAGAATTTCTTCCTTAGAAAGGGAAGTATGAGTATAAGTAGGATTACCATTTGTGGAATTAAATCCAAGTTCTTCTAGAATACAATTTATATAATGGGCCTTACAAACGTAGACAATGTTGTTAACTGCTTTGTCGGGAGGGACCAGTACATAACGATAATGTAATCTTTCTAATCTTCTAATACGCGACTCTAACAGATTTAATACATTTCATCCATTCTGACAAGGTGTCAACATTTTCTTTTTCATATCTGGCCCATCGTCTGGCGTAATTTTCAACAGAATCCATAATATTTATGAAATTCCGACACCAGTTGAAGGATCGGGGTTTCCTATATTTACTTTATATACTTTTAAAATAATGATCTAAAGTCCTCAGTATTAACTATATTTACGTCACCTGTAATAACTTGTCCTGCAGGACTATATATAGTTGTAGGGGGGAGAAGAACATGAACACGATGGAGGAGTATGTTTCAGATCCTTGGCATCCAGGTCATGTAAAGTGGTTTTTTTTTTTTTGTAATTGAAAAGTTTGGAAGCAATGGTCGATGTATATTTGTATGAAATACAAGGTGTAGTCTTTAACTTAAAATATGGTGGAATAAAAGACTGGACCCTTTTGTGATTAAGAATATCACTTATATTAACCGCGTCAATTCCTTTATTGGCATAATGAAGTTTAAGGAAGAGATGGATTGTTTTAGCTGCATTTTCTTCCGTTAAACGTGTGGGTTTAAAAAGCCTATGATATGCAATATCCATAATCACAGATCCGAGCCTATATTCTGGTGACTAGGAATCAAAAATTGGACTTTCCTTGGCCTTTTCAAGAAAACTATTTAAAAGTTCCAAAAGGACAGAGTAAGTTTGGTGCGAATATGATGTTGACCTAACTGTTGATTTACATAAGGTAGTAATGAATCAAAAGAGACATCGTGTATTGCAGGTTTATTGTACGAACGATGCCCGTGATTACGCTTACGTCTTGGTGTATGGTTAAAAAGTTCAATCACATTTACATTATTACACTGCGGGCTGGAACGATTTCCAACACTATCGACATTATCATTACATCCATAGCGAAAGGCTGTCCCTAGTTTTCTAATCCAAAATTCTTCTCGTTCTCTACGGAAAGCGACGGACTATTTGTGTGGTGATAAATCTGTTCGAGAAAGATCACTTCTTGCTCTAATAACTGCAAGATATCCTTTACTGTTAGATACCACGTGCCCCTGAATAGGAGATTGACCCATTTGCCTCCACACCTACTGCATATAGATCTTTCCAATCCGTTGATATCGTGTGGAGAGGGGCGCTATTACATTCCTAATATCAAATCCAAATGTGCTCAATGGGATTTGTTGTAATAATTTGAAAATATCATATGATTCTATAAAATAGTTTTAAATAAATACATTTATAAAATTGAACACTTGGAAGATTTGTTAAGTGTAAATCTATAAATGACTTACAAAAATCGTAGCAAACTAAAAAAAATGTATGCAAAGAATGTAGACGTCTTTAAAATTACTATTATATTCATCTTTTAAGAAAGGGAAAATAAAGTTTTTTAAGAATTATTGATTTTTAATTTTCAAATTTTGTCTAATTTACAAAATTTACTTCCGGATTTGATTTCTTTTCTCGTAGTTATCGGTTTGAAAAATCAGAATTCAGTGGAGACTTCCACAGTTTGTTTCTATCTAATTACAGTCTTTTTTTAGTAATATCGGTTCATTCGATCAGATTAGGTATTGGGAGAAAGCCAAAAAATCTTTATGTGAGTTCTTGTTTTATTTTATTTTCTTCATTTAGGACAAACGTGGGGTAAGTATGGAGACTACTTTAAACTTAAATTGTTGGTATTGAAATTTTTATGAATTGATATTTTTTTTTATATTTGGTCTACACGGTTTCCTGTTGTTAACTTGTTACCTCACATGAGATTAATGTTAGATATTTGATAATAACAATTATAATGGATAAATTAACTGATGTAATTGATTGCTTGGCGCAATGGTAAGAGCATCTGCCGCGGTTTCGAATCCTACTGTGGGGCGTGAAGACCGGTCCATCAATCCCACTATGGGGCGTGGAGAACGGTCCTTCAATCCCACTGTGGGGCGTGGAGACCGGTCCTTCAATCCCACTGGCGGGCATGGAGACCGGTCCTTCAATCCCACTGTGGGCGTGGAGACCGGTCCATCAATCCCACTGTGGGGCGTGGAGACCGGTCCTTCAATCCCAATCCCACTGTGGGGCTTGGAGACGGTCCTTCAATCCCACTGTGGGGCGTGGAGACCGGTCCATCAATCCCACTGTGGGGCATGGAGACCGGTCCTTCAATCCCACTGTGGGGCGTGGAGACCGGTCCATCAATCCCACTGTGGGGCGTGGAGACCGGTCCATCAATCCCACTGTGGGGCGTGGAGACCGGTCCATCGGATGAGATTGTATAAACGGAGGTTCTTTCTGAGACCATTTTTTTCCTCCTCTAAGTGGCCTTGGTGCTGAGCATTGATCAAGATTTGCAGCTCTCCACCGGCAGGTGATGGCGCGTTCCTATGAGTGAAACATTCTCGATAGGAACATTAAACAAGAAAACAATAAAGACGTTTAAAATGAGTTAGGCGACAGAAAATGTAATTCCTTTGCATGTTTATCCCAACAAAATTACCTAAATGCAAAAAGTAATGGACTGAAAAAGCAAGAATGAATGACGAAAAGATAAAAGTACATTTCCCTTGAAATGCACTGTGACAAAAACTGAAATATCAAACATAAACTATACAAATTCAGAAACGCTGCTTAATAATATATATTCCTATCTTTAAAATAAACCAATTATGGGACTCCTGTCTTGATTTTTAAGTAATTTCTCAAGAAACAAAATATTTCTTATAATTTTACAGGTTACAAGATGGAAGGACATGAACGGAAGAATACTACTATCCTAGATGCTTTCATGGAGTTCTACTACAGGGTCCCCCGCCCAAACATGATTTTTTCCGTCATTGGGGATTCTGACAACTTAATTCCGAAACAATGGCCGAAATCACGATTTCAGCAATGTTTGACCTATGCTGCCAAGGCTGCAGGGGGTTTGTATTTATTATCAAATTTCCTAATCATGTTTGTTTGTTTGTTGTTTAACATCCCTCTCGAGAATTTTTCACTCATAAGGAGACGCAACCATTTGCCGACAGAGATATGCAAGTGTTTTCCTATGCTCGGCACTCAGGGCTATTGAATAATACTAAATTTGATTTATCTTAATCTTTCACACTTTTATCAACATATTTATGCCTATATATTTACATTTCCAATGTCTTTGTCCGAGATAAAATTACCAATTGTAAATGTAATTGATTTCCTCATGAATGTTTTGGCGCGGTTCAAAAAAAAAAAAAAAAAAAAAAAAGCAGGGCGGGACAACACCTAGAGAGAAGCAGGCTTGGAGCCCGTGGATTGGCGGAATCAAAGCATGTTAATATAAGGAATAACTGTCAGATTTTTCAAATTCATGAAGATGATCAATGGATTGGCTTGTGTGATAATTTTATGCATAAACGCCTTCGGCATGTATATGCATTTTATGCATATTTATATTTTTTTATGTATTTTTTATTGCCTTTGTTATATTTTTGTGAATATCAAACAGATAACGAAATCTTTACGTGTATCTGTCAGCATAATAAAGAGATAATTTAAAACTTCTGTATACTTTAATCAAATAATAATGTTTATTTTGAAATTCTCAGATTGCTGGATATTGAGTAAGGGAGAGCCCCTAACAGTCTCTAAAATAGTCCGAGAGATGGTGGAAGAGTACATTTATCTAGAAAAACCGGTCCGTAAAGACCTCCGACTGATATCAATCCCTTCTAAACCTGTCATGGGCATGGGCCTCTTATTTGATTTGCCAGAAGTCCTAGAAAATGATAAAAACCAGAACAAAAAGAAAAAGGTATTTTTCAAACACTAACGATTTACTTTTAAGCATGGATATTATTATCTGATTTAAAATACATTTAGTCTGTTTTCATCCTCCTTTAAATCCAGACCCTCTCTGAAAATGAAGACGTGCACTGTCTTTCATGTTGTTTTTTTTTATATAATATTTAGAATACGTTGATATCTGTAAAGGCCATTATCTCAATTTGCTAAAGAATTAATGGAAGCAAGAAATTTAATTTCCCTAGAATAGAATTATCGTTTACCCAAAGGTCTAAAAAGTGATGGAAGAATTCTCGATGTAATTGTCTTTGAAAGTTTCTCTCAGTTCTACAATTATTTTGAAATTTTGAGAAAGCATAGACAAAAACCTTGCCGAAAAAATGCCTAGACCGTTGTGGAAGTTAATGTATTTTTCTAATGTGTGACAAATTTTATTCTTTCTTTTGTACTGTTATTCTGAAAGGAGACAGAGTTAATTTTAATTCTGGTATATTGTTGTTACGTTGTTACATGTGATAAAAAGAATTTTAAAAAGCATGCATATTTACGCACCAAAAGGAATAATATTTCTCGATGCTTTGGGGTCGGAGAGTTTTGGATATCAACAATCGCATCTCACACTTTTTTCCCCTTTTATCCTTATGTTTGAATAAATGACATGCATGTTACTTGTGATTTTTTTTTTAGACCTCACCATTAGAGACAGGTTGGGATGACAGTTTTTATGTTGACTTGCCTATCCCTTCTGACGGTGAAGACTACCTGGAGTTTAGGTTCGAGCTGGAAAGGACTCTGGAGAGACCTGCAGATCACGGTAACATATCCACTACAAAATGATGTTGCTTATAATATTTTAGTTAATTGGAAATAATTGCACAATTTCAAAATTTCATGTTTTGATATTATAATCATCATGATAAAGCAATTACCGGATTCTTTGCCCCTTACGCTGTCTGTAACGTAATAGTAGCATTAATTACATTTGTTACTTTTTGATGACGTTATCCTTATTCCCCGCAGCGCACTTGCAAATACGTGCTGAAAATACCTGTTTTTGAAGATGAACATTTACACGTGTTTAGTTGCAAATGTTGCTCTATATATCGCCCTAATATTCATGCAACCATCAGTAAAATGAATTCAAGTAATTTGATGATGATTTAATCCTGTTTATTTTGTTTAAATAATTCTTCTATGTGAACTTTTCTAAACTTAATTTATTATCATAGCTTAATACAAGTATTTTATTATAAATTTTAAATCTAAATCTAAAACAAAATAATCGTTTGAGTTTCCCGATAGGATGTCTTTTTTATGCTCGGGTTAAAAGACAGACAACGACACTCGCCCCCTTTTTTTTTCTTATTTCTGCAGTCACATGCATTAACATTTTATCGAAACTTCCAAAATCTTTCAATTATAAAAAAAATAGAAATGAGGTCTGGAAGAAAAGGGTATTCACCAGAGAAAATTTTTATAACAGTATTTTATAGATTTTTAGGACAAAAACGGGGTTGTAGCTTTCAGCACATTTAACTTGATTTAGCTATTCGAGAGTTTTTTTAATATAAAAAATTTTTGAAATATCGCTTAATTCTATTGAACAATACAATATAGCGCATTGTTGATGGAAGACATTTTAATTTTTAAAATAAATGAAGGAAAATTTAACTGATCACATCTTCTTATTGATATTTTGGCCGATATACGGATCAAATACTACCGTCGGACTCGTCATTAAAATAATCAGTCTTAAATTAGCAGTATATATCTAAACCTTGCTGGCAAAAAGTTTCCGCGAAATCCACTCTATATATAGTGCATGGTTGAGATGTGAGACGCATCGAAACCCCTTGGCTGCAGAGAAGATTGTAGAATCTTTACACCTACGGGTACATGCATTTGGGCTAAAACTACAGTACTAAAACATCAGTACTTTTAAAAATAAAGAAAAACTGGGGGGGGGGGAGCGAATTTGCAAAAAATTAAAATAAAAAAAAACAGAGAAAAGAAGTATTTCTTTGGAATGGAATTTTAATCCATTTTAAAAACAACAGAATAGTTTACAAAGGGTCCGAGAGTTCTTCGGACGTAGCAGTCGGTACTCGACATTTTCCCGATGGTGTCCGAAGTATTCCGATTGTTTGTGGAGCAAATCAGGCAGTTCTCTAAACAAGAGGCCCGCGAGCCTTATAGGTCACCTGAGCATCATGCAACAGTTCGTACGAAGGAGAGGGGGGTATACTGTTTTTCCCTTGTGAGTTTTTCCGTCTGTCTAGTATGTGTCTGTCCGTAACAGTTTTTGGTCGCAGTTTTCTAAGCAACTACGCAGTACTCATTACAGATGCTTGAAATTTTAGCACATTCGTCACTGTAGCATGCCATATGATGGTTTTCATTTTTTGTTCAAATCCGATGTCAACTTTCTGTTTATCCGTGCGTCTATCCGTACCACACATACATGTAACAAATTTTTATCGCATTTCTCTAAGCAACTACTCAATGCAGATTCTTCAAATTTTAGCACAATCTTTGTTGAGACATGCCATATAGTGGGATTTACTTTTGTATATGATTCTGATGTCAACTTCATATTTTTTCCGTGCATCTGCCCGTAACTGAACGTGTGTAAACATAATATTGTATATTCACATTAGAGCGGGGGATTATATGTGACTGAGCATTGGCTCACAGACTTTGTTCTGCCTTTTTTTAAATATCAAACATATATGCAGTATACCTGTATAAAATTTTCGCGCATAATTACCAGTGTTAGATTGACTTGTCCGGTGTGAGACAGCAGTGTGAGATTTTTCTGTCTTACACTGTGTATTACTACGCCGCGAACGATAACGTTAACATTCCGTCTTAATATAAAGAAATTGTAATAATGTTAAAAAAATATCATATGTAATTAAAATGTTGTCATTTAACTTATTAACATAAACTTATTTTCATTCAAAATATGGTCGTATTTTCACTTTTTAAATGGCACTATATTTAAATCGCGGAAGAATTCTTCTAGAATGAATGTTTACGCTATCGGATAAGTTTTTATTCCCAGTTTTAATCTATCTAATTAATTTACATGGACTGAAATTCGTTGTATTAGTTTACACTTTGTGTAAACCATTTCAGATACGCTCTCTCCGATGGTGTATTTAGATTTTTAATTAGATGGAAAATTAAAAAAAATGTTTTTTTTTGCCATAGGCGACGTCATTTACAGGCCGTTATTTTGGATAAAATAATGCGAGAAAAATATTCATTTATTACTTACTCATGTGGGAATAGTGAAATTCCACCTCGGCAAAGCGTCGTCATAGACTGTGAATCTTGTCCCCTCGGTGGAATTTCACTATCCAACACTCATAATAATGAATGATTCTATTATTCCCAAATACCTTGTTTTATGTATACATGTATACGTCTATTTTTAGAAATCAACACACACGATTGAGTTAGTGCAACACTTTTACATGTAACTGTACAATATCGGAAACGTTGACCATGTTGACTTGATTATAAAATCATTCAAATTCAAAATTTTAAATTAACCTCCTTTTCAACATTATATTGTCGTTCCTTCATTCTGTTCCTTTCTATTTGTATATGTGTATATTTTTTATTGATGTGAAAGGCGGAAAAAATCTGGTTGTGTTTTTTACGAATTTGAATTGAAATCGAACAAGAATTAAGATTACATGCCATTACATGTAACATATGATTACCTGCAAGCTGGACCAAACTTTTATTCCATGAACGAAACCTCTTTTCTTATCAGTTGTATCAGTATGTATCAACTTAAATATTCTTTCGTAATTTTATACGTCCATTCTGTCGATTTATCAAACATTTACATAAACAAATTGTCGAATTTTATAAATTCTGGATCAAGGATCCTATCTAATACAAGATTGAGGGACTTCCACAAACCAGTGGTGAGCTTATTTAGTGTCAAAAGAAAGATCTTGATTTAATTGTCTCCAAGTCACATCCTAAGTTTTGTCAAATAAATCGAACGACCCAGACATATTGAACTGAGGAAAAATATTATTATTTGCGATATATAACACAAGGGATTAAAAAAATTTATTATCTAATCATTTATTGTCATACCATCAAAACTTTACGCGTTACCAGAGCAGAAAACGTCAAAAACAAAATGTGCGTTAAAGTGCGTGATTGCGGGGTAAGGGTATATGCGTTAAAATGCGTGATTGCGGGGCAACGGTATATGCGTTAAAATGCGTGATTGCAGGGATGGGGGTTAACTCTTTGCCCCTTGCGCTGTCTGTAACGTAATAGTAGCATTACATTTGTTACTTTTTGATGACGTTATCCCTTTCCCCGCAGCGCACTTGCGATTGCGTGCTGAAAAGACGTGTTTTTGAAGATGAATATTTACACGGTGTAAGTAGCAAGTGTTGCCGTATATATCGCCCTAATATTTATGCAATCATCTGTAAAATAAATTCAAGTATTTTGATGAAGATTTAATCCTGTTTATTGTGTTTAAATAATTATTTTATGTGGACTTTTACAAACTTGATATATTATCATATCTTACAAGTAATTTATTATAAATTTTAAATCTAAATCTAAAACCTCGTTCAAAACAATTGTTTGATTCCAGACAGGGTGTCATTTTTATGCTCGTGTTAAAATGACAGACAACGACACATCCCCCTTTTTTATTTCTTCAGTCACACGCATTACCATTTTATCAAAAAAAATATTGTTGGAATATTGCTCTATTCCTAATGAATAATAGAATAGCGTATTGTCGATGGAAAACATTTTAATTTTTAAAATACATGTAGTAAGCATTTAACTGATCACATCTTCTTATAAATATTTTGGCTGATATACGGATGAAAACCTGCCGTCGGACTCGGCATTAAAATAATCAGCCTTAAATTAGCAATATTTATATATATATACCTTGCTACCCAAGAGTTTCCGATCCGAAATCTACCCTAGTGCATGTTGTAGATCTGAAGCTCATCAGAACCCCTTGGCTAGCAAAGATTGCAGAATCTTTACACTTACAGGTACATGTGGGCTACTAAAAAATCAGCACATTTAAAAATAAAGAAAAATCTGGGAGGAATGGGGCTATTTAAGGCGAATCTGCAATAGAGAAATAAATTAATACAAAAGAAAAGAAAAGCATCAAAAAGAAGTATTTCTTTGGAATGGAATTTTAAGACATTTTTAAAAACAATAGAATACATGTGAAGTTTACAAACGAGTCCAGGAACTTGGACATAGCGATCAGTACTCGACATTTTCCCAATGTTGTCCTAAGTATTCCGATTGTTTGTGGAGCAAATCCGGCAATACTCTTGTATCTGTATTTATTGAGAAATACAGAAAGAATTTCCACAATTCAAAAGGGTTGCCATATCAGATTTCTTTGACACAATGAATTTTATGAACGTGCAGCGTCAAAATACACGAAAACCTGTCCACTTCCGTAAAGAAAATGACGTATTTATATCAAATTTATTCAAACTTGCACAAAATGAAGTCAAATTAAGAAACAGGGTACACAATAAAAAAAATAAATTACTCAGGATCTATCAGGAGTATATACAAATGTAGTTCTATAGTATTAAAATATACAAGTTAACGGGAGAAAAAAAATGATCGAGTTTGTATAAGATATATAATTCTGAGCGAAAAATATGCATATAAATTACACAGGAGAATAAAGAGATTATCTCACTAATTTGATTGCATTCTTATTTATATAGACAACGAAAATACTAAAAGAAAACCCTAACAAGTCGTGTCAAAACTCAACAGAAAAAGCGACGTCGGCCGTCCGCACGGGGCAGCGTCCGATCAAAAAATTAAGTTTTTTAACGGTTTAAACGACGTGAGAAACAAAATATTTGTTAAAACAACTCAAACTTATTGAAATATATTTAGTGTGTCTATTTGGGATGGGTATTTACGATTTTTCAACGGTGTGCACAAATTCGAAGACACTACAAGATTTTAAAATCACATGTAATTTACTGAAAATGGAGATTTCTATTCATGACGTTGTTATAAATCTAGCGCAGCGTCGGACTGGGCTGTGCAGTTTGTGTATACAAACTGTGTATTTAGATGACGCTCGTAAATTTTAGTGCATTATTTTGAAATTTAAAAATTAAATACATTATAATCAATTCTTTTAGATTATTGCTAGCACTTCGAAGTGCGTTGCACCTTAGAAATAAATGTAGTGAGTGCCCTAACATAAATACTATAGTAAACTATTGTTAATTATAGTTTACTATAGTTAACTGTAGTACCAAAGTTAAAACTTTGGAACTTTGATTTACTATGGTGATAGCTTTGGAACTTTGATTTACTAAAGTAAAAACTTTATAACTTTGATTTACTATAGTGAAAACCTTGAAACTTTGATTTACTTTAGTAATAGCTTTGGAACTTTGATTTACTATAGTAATAACTTTGGAACTTTGATTTACTTTAGTAAAAACTTTGGAACTTTGATTTACTATAGTAAAAACTTTGGAACTTTGATTTACTATGGTATAAACTTTGGAACTTTGAATAACTATGGTACAAATTTTGGAACTTTGATTAATACTATAAAACCTTTGGAATTGCTTCCCATTCAGTAAGTTTTAAGAAATTTCAAGAATAAGATTCATTTAAGTTTCAGAGAACGTTTTAAAAATACGACCTGTCAACTAAAAGAACGAAGCACAAGAAATGAATTTTAATGTACAAATTGTCTATCGCACAGTTAAATAAACAATATTTATTATTATTTGAGGGGAAAATATTACATGTATAAGAGAAAAATTCCGTCATTTAGAATAAAAATATTTGCTTCCTTAACTTCAGATTTAAGATGAACAACAGAACAAGCCTAAACAAACCAATATCATCCACTTTAAACATACTAATGATAATAAAAAAAACTTCATAAAACAAAGTACAAAAACTTTAAATCTTTGATTTACTATAATAAAAAATATGAAACTTTAATTTACCATAGTTATGATTAACTATAGCGAAAACTTTGGAACTTTGATTAACTATAGTAAAAACTTGGGAACTTTGATTTACTATGGTGATAACTTTGGAACTTTGATTTACTATGGCGAGAACTTTGGAACTTTGATTTACTATTGTAAAAACTTTTGAACTTTGATTTACTATGGTGAAAACTTTGAAACTATGATTTGCTATAGTGAAAACTTTGGAACTTTGATTTACTATAGTAAAAACTTTGGAATTTTGGTATACTATAGTAAACTATAGTTAACTATAGTATTGTTTTTGTTAGGGTGTCAATGAATACTTTAAGTCAAAATCCAAATGTTTGACGTTATAATGAAATTAGCGTAACGTCAGACTGGTCCGTGCGCACAAACTGCGATCTTTAAAAATCCCGATTTTTACAAAAATATTAAGTTTCATCAGTAAAATTTTAATCATTCTGGCTTAATATTTCATGCGAAATATTTTGATATACAATAGAAGAATATAGAACCATTTATTTTAACAAAAACGTCATTGTCCACGAACTTTTGGACAACCCTCGTACATGGTATTTACCACCTGCACTACCCTTTGAAAACAGTCACGAGTTAACTGTCCATACATAAGTTGATGTCAAAAGTATTTTCTGTGTATAACATAAAAATATAGCTGGTGGAAGAATCCCATCAGACCTCATCGTCGTCCTCTTCTTGAAACTTTACTTCGCCAATTATTGATTTTTCAAAACCTAATACTAGTATTCCTTGTGTATGCAGTGTTGACATGCATGAACATATAGCGTATATATGCATTTTTTAAACATGAGAAAGCGGCTGATAAGTGAATATTTTTCAAATAATATTATACTGAGAATATAAACGTACTCGCGGCGGGTCAAGGAACATTCCTTAGGGACTATGTACCCACTGATAAACTTATCAGTAGACATGTGTCTTTAAATCATACCCCCAATGCAAAAGAGAGGGGGGTATACTGTTTTACCCTTGTGTGTTTTTCCGTCTGTCCAGTATGTGTCTGTCCGTAACAGTTTTTAACGGTAACTACGCAGTACTCATTACAGAAGCTTGAAATTTTAGCACATTCGTCACTGTAGCATGCCATATTGTGGTATTCATTTTTTGTTCAAATCCGATGTCAAATTCCTGTTTATCCGTGTTTATCCGTGCGTCTATCCGTACCACACATACATATAACAAATTTTCATAGCATTTTTGTAAGCAACTACTCTTTGCAGATTCTTTTAATTTTAGCACAATCTTTGTTGAGACGCGACATATAGTGGGATTTATTTTTGTAGATGAATATCTTATTCAATATGATGTCAACTTCATATTTTTCCGTGCATCTGCCTGTAACTGAACGAGTGTAAACAGAATAATGTAATCACACCAGAGCAGGGCATTAAACTGGTGAGCATTGGCTCACAGACTTCTTGTTTGTCCAAATCTGTTTTTAAAATTATCAACCAAGTATGCAGAATACTTGCATAAAATATTCCCGAATACCTTGTTTTATGTATACATGTAATACGTTTAATTTTAGAATCAAGACACACGATCGAGTAAGTGCAACACTTTTTCTTTTAACAATATCGGAAACATTGACTTGAAATTGAAATCATTCAAAATTAAATCAACCTCTTTTTCAACATTATATCGTCATTCCTTTATTCTGTTCCTTTTATTTGTGTACATGATTTTTTTTATTGCTGTTTATTTTAACGAATTTGAATTTTAAGCGAACAAGAAATACAGGTTACATGAGACTACAAGTAAAATAAAATTACATGTAAACTTGAACAAAGCTGTATTCTATGAACAAAACCTTTTTTCTCGTCAGTTGTATGAGTTTTTATACGTTCCTTCTGTCGATTTCTGCACAGGATTTTATCAAACACACATAAAAAATAATTTGTCGAATTCAATAAATTCTGGAACAAGGGTCCTATCTCACACAAGATTAAGGGACTTCCACAAACCAGTTGATAAAGTGGTGAGCTTATTTAGTGTCAAAAGAGAGACCTTCTTAAGTTGTTTGGCGTCCCAAGTTTCGTCAAATAAATCGAACGACTCGGACATATTGAATTGAGGAAAAATATTATTTGCGAAATACAACACAAGGGATTAAAAAAATATTATCTAATAATTCATTGTCATACCATCAAAACTTTTCACGCGTTTTCAGAGCAGAAAACGTCAAAAACAAAATGTGCGTTAAAGTGCGTGATTGCGGGGTAAGTTTATATGCGTTAAAATGCTTGATTGAACGGTTTATGAGTTAAAATGAGTGATTGCGGGGATGGGGGTTAAATTAATTTCTTATGAATAAGTAAATCCGATACAAACTTCGTAATTTTTTTAATGCAATTCACAGTTTTAGAAATGAATTTTATTGCGAGAGAATTATTTTTTACCAATATGGCCCCTTTCTTTCTTTGCCAAAAATGGCTTCTGCATTGGCGTCGGAAGCAAATTGAAAGTGGGTGGCTATTTGAAAAAAAATTCAAACATACAATAAAAACCTAACAAGCCAAAAAAAAGCAAACAAACAAACACACAAAACAAAGTAGAAAAAGTGAATGTGTTCATATTAAACATATTTATAATTCAAGATATCTTATTATTATACGAATATTCGTTAATATTTTCAGAAAGGAATGCCTTAGTATTAATTCTGGTGGAAGGCGATTTGTCGGCTGTGGACCACGTCAAGCTAGCCATTGAGGATGGAATACCTGTTGTGTTTATAAAAGGAACAGGCGGGCTGGCGGATCTCTTGTCTATCACTATGTTAGTTTCTTGCTATATTATTTACAATATCTATCTTTGTTTTCATTTTCTTTTTAAAGTTAGCACTTATTGAGTTAAAAACCAATTGAAAACATTTTTGAAAATTCATTTAGAAATTACAAACGTCAAATGTTTAACAAATATAATTTACCAACTTTGCTGCTTAAATTTCATTAAAAAGAAAGTATATAATATGATCCAACTGTAAGTTCAGATATCACTTGTATCTGGAATTTCTTTTGTTTTTGTTTGGGGGGGGGGGGGGGTGAAATGAAAGATAATTTCATAATTTCATGCAGTATTTGGAATCGAATTGTCTGATAATGCCGTTAATTAATGATAAATCAATTTTTAAGGGAAATGTTGAATGATAAAAAGACTTTGGAACTGAGAACAGTGCTTCCAACCTTGTTCGGAATTGAACTGGAGAATTCAGAGATTGAGGAACTTGACCGAAGCTTGAGAACTATCTTTAAAAAATCATATTTAGTAAGAGAAGTAAACTTTCCTTTTTTATCACCTGCATACGGAATTTATGCATCTGAGTTGATTCGATACGCAGGAGCATGCTCTATGTGTGACAAATTTCTAAAGGAAGTTAAATTATTGACAAACACGTTTATGAAACAAGAATAGGAGTAGTCTCGTTTAAAGTCATCCTTCCGTAAGTTCTATGGTCGATACAATGAACTTGTCAGCAAATACAATTTATTACTTTCAATTATAAATAAATGCTGACTGACGTTTTTATACCATTTGTTAGTCCATTATTTATTTAAGGAATGCAGCTTATTTCAACTTATGTTATCCGATATAACATAACTTGGGGCAGTTTAGGCTTTATAAACCGCGAACAAGTTTTGTTATATCGGTTAACATAAGTTGAAATAAGCTTCATTTCTTATAATTTAATTTCAATGTAGACAATGAGACAATATTTCCTCCATAAAAAGGCTTTAAAGTGAGCATTATTTTAAAAGTAACGTCAAGCAGTGATACGTTTTTGACATAACTCATTGTGACGTAGGCAAGTTATGTTATATGAAATGGATAAAACCGTTTAACCAATCAAATGTCGCGTTACAACTGAAATTAAATTATTACGCTTTATTTACATTACGGAATTCTTCAGAATTAAAGGTGCCATTGGTCGTCTGACTGACTGGGACAGCATGACGTTGCAGATAATACAAAACATGCAAATTCTCAATCCAATTTTATAAGTTAAATGTTTTTGTCATTCCTATTAAAGAATAGATAAACTAATAGACATGTAATATCTAGAACTAGAACCCTTAATTCATCATCCATTAATAAAAATAAATATTTCCGAGGCATGTGCATTGTATTTTACTGATAAAAATTTACATACGATAAACGATAGATAAAAATTGATATCTTTGTCGTTTCTACTCTTGATGGATATTAATCCCACAACAATAAAATGATTCAGTTGATTTTTGTTTAGATTTATTCACCGACATCCAACATATTGTTTACACCTTTATGTTACGTTTGTCCAAGAAATCCTACGAGATTTGTACATATTGGGACTTTTTTTCTCACAAAAGAGCGCACTTAGAAGTTTAACTCTTTCATAGTGGAAATAGGATGTATTGACGACGGATTTTTTCTGTTATTTCCCGATCATGACAAGGAGCACACGGCGGTTGTGACCAGTCAGTAGGGGATGCTCACTCCTCAAGGGCACCTGACCCCACCTCTTATTTTTTTGGAGGTCCTTGTTTGCTCAACTCCTATTTTGAATTGTTTTATGGACTTTTGATCTTGAATACTGTTCGTTATCCCCATTTGTTTCATCTACCTGATAAAATAATATTAATATCATTAAAATTATCCTTTCTCTTTTTTTACATTCTTTACATTCAATGGAATACAAAGAATATCAGTAAATCTCTTTGCTGCATTATTTCATTCATTTCAACAAACTTCGAAGTTAAAATACCCTTACATGTTTTTTCCTCTCTGATCAATTTTTATTTTGATCTGATCAATTTTTATTATTTTGATTTGAATATTATTTTATTGTTTTAAATGCTGTAGTGAATTCATTTAATATGTAATATATTTCCTATAGCTTGATGCTTTTGATGTCTACATTTAATATGTAATATACTTCCTTTAGCTTGATGCCTTTGATGTCTTCGTAAAGAACGAGGAACAGTTTGCGGCTTCTGTTGGGGAGTTGGTACAGAAATCCTGGTTCTTAGAAAACACGGGTCTTTCTGAGGATAAACACGTCAAAGGGAACAGTGAGAGATCACACTTATTTAAATGAATTGTGAATTTTTTTTTTCATAAATACTGTATATGGTGTGTGCATATTGGTTTACGTCCTTTTCGATATATTAAATCATTTGTCGGTGGGTCGCCCGCGTGGCGCTGTGATTCATGTAAGAGCGTCTGCTCTTGATTTGTGAAGTAAGGGACTATCTTAACGTCGCAGGTGTGAATCCCACGATGGGACGTGGAAACCGGGTTTTCGGATGAGACCATATAAACCGAGGTCCCATGACGCAGTAGGTGCTGGCACGAAGAAGATCCCTCAATGCTAAATGGCCCTGATCGCTGAGCATAGGACAAAATTTGTAGCTCTCTTTGTAGCTCGGTTGCGTTTCCATATGAGTGAAAAATTCTCGGGATAGACATTAAGCAACATACAATCAAATAATCATTAAACATTTGTTGGTAAAGGGTTTCAAATTTAGAGCTTAACTCGGCACTCAGAACCATTGAGCATTGAAGGATCTTCCGTGGTCTTGCACAGTAATTTTCACGGATATAAAAGACGAAAAATAGATTTAAAATCATTTTTCTTAATATTTTATGATATGATTTAACACAAGTGTCTTAGTCCTTTAGTATATCAATTTCAATCTCTTGGTCTCAAGGCACTTGAATACTGGATCGATAAATATCCACATAAAATTCATTGCCGTTTTAGCAAACAGTTTATCCTAGAGGCTAGTGATATAGTTTTGAAAAATAATACATTCGCATTTGACGATAAACATTATGAACAACGTAAAGGAACTACCATGGGGACAAAAATGGCTCCAACTTATGCCACCCTCACCCTAGGATACCTGGAGGAAATTATGTACGAAAAAACAAAACAACATTTTGATGAACAGACAACGGGAAGTATAAAAAGTAATTGGAAAAGATACCTGGATGACTGTTTCATCATTTGGAACGACAGTGATGCTAACTTAGAAGCTTTCGTAAATATGATGAATGATCTGGATCCAGACATCAAATTTACAATAGACAAAAGTTCTCAGAGTATTCCATTTTTAGATATCCTAATAACGAAACACGAGGAGCATTTATCGACTGATATTTACTACAAACCCACAGATACCCATCAATACCTCACTTTAGTTCTTGCCATCCAAGCCATACAAAACGCTCAATTCCTTATTACTTAGCAAGACGAATCTGCACTATAGTTAGTGACAAAGAAATAAGAGATAAACGTTTAAGTGAATTAAAGACGTTTCTCCTTCAACAGTATTATCCTATGGGTATCATTGAAGATGGAATCAAAGAGGCAATAAAACTGGACAGAGAATACCTTATTAATCCAACCAGAAGCCAAACTTCAGATTTAAAGATATTACCTTTGGTCACTACTCACAATCCGAGAAACAAGAATATTACTCCAACCGTTCGTGAACTAAACAATGTTCTAAAAACCGATGAGGAAATAACCAAAGTATTTGAAAAATATACATTTATCAACAGCAAACGACAACCAAGGAATCTACGAAGGATATTATGCAAATCCTCATTCCACCAACAACGTTTATATTCAGTGAAGAAGTGTTCCGATCTCCGCTGTGGAACCTGCAATTACATGAAAACTGGAAGCACCTTTAATTTCGGGAATAAAGACTTTACCGAAAGGCAGACATGACAAGCGAGTCTAAAAACGTTATTTATTGTATTACATGTGCAGGATGTGGACAATTCTATATTGGGGAAACTGGAACCACACTACGTACACGTATCCGCATACACAAACAGCACATTAACCAACCTGAATACCATAAAATAAATTTAAGCGGACATCTTGATATTTGTGGCCGGGGACAATTTTCAGTTTTTCCATTTTACCAACTTTATACAGACAATGTGGTGCAAAGACGGGAAAAGGAGAAATACTTTATAAAACTGTTAAAACCATCACTAAATAGTTCACTTAAGACATTTTTATATTTTTGTAAAACACAGACATTTGTATGCAAACAGTATGTTTATTTTCTTTAAACTCATGTCAAAGTTTCTTCCTTCACTATTGTGACGTCATTGTATTGCTTTTGACGTTCCTACTATGTAACGTTATTACGTCACAAGTTTAAATTGTTTAAAACGTCTGAAGAAAACAATGAAAGCGCTTACTTTTTAATAAGTGTTGTCTTTTTATTTTATTTTAATATATATATATATATATATATATATATATATATATATATATATATATATATATATATATATATATATATATATATATATATATATATATATATATATATAGGGAAAATGTTGTAGAAGTCCATGGTATAGGTTAAGTTATAAATCAAAATTAAATCCAAGATAAATAAACACGTTTACGTTTAATTTTTTATACTAAGCGCTTTCGCTGTTACGGCTCTTCAGAGTGTAACAATGATAATAAAAACAATACAACTTCGTTGTTATGACGTCGTTATTATGACGTCACAAAGGCAGCGTTATACATTGGCACAGGTAAATGTCAAAAAAGCGCCAAATGTATAGAGTTAAACACATGTACATTGTAATAAAATGGAACATTTCTTTAGAGCTAAAATGTTCAATTTACATTTACATTTAATTTAGGCTGAAATAATTTAACAAAATAATCTTCCTTGGCCCTCCGTAATTGTTCATTATCTTCTGTGATTTTATAAAACGGAAATATCAAAAAAAATTCCATTTGCACATAAATCAAAATGTTCACTGCAAGGTGTATTCCTGACGGAGGGGTCTCGTATTTGTTGTTTATGGACTCTAACACGGTCAGCTAGTTTGTTACCGGTCTGTCCAATATAGTCTTCCCCGCATGAAGTACAAGTCATACAGTATATTAAATTTCTAGTTTTGCATGACATATTCGCATTGACGGTAAACGTTTTACCACATTTAAATGTAAAATTTTCTCCGGTTTTTAAATAAGGGCAGGTTCCACACAGGGGATCCATACATTTGGCTACAGTGCGTTTTTCCTCATTCGATGAGAATCTGGCTCTTGTTAGGAGTTTCTTTAGGTTTGGAGGAAAACGGATTCCCACAATATATATATATATATATATATATATATATATATATATTGCATGGTTACTGTCTTTAAATATAAGCGATTTTTGGGCGAGGATAAGTAAACGTGATAAATGGCGAGACTTGCCGAGCCCTCCATCACGTTTTCGACACGGGCCCAAATATTGCTTATATTTCAAGACATTTATTTTGGTTATCCTGCAAAATATATTTCCATCTGACCTCAAAAATGAACTATTTTCAACGCGATTTAGACATATCTCTGCAATTGAAACTAAAACGCTATAGCTTAAAAATTGCAATATACGTGACGTCACAATGCTTTTAGAACGGCGGAATACATGCACGAGGCTTTATTAGGACATTGACCGTATAAAGCTTTGGTTTAAATGGTCACCTTTATTAGTTAATGCAAGGGGTAGTTGCAGGATATAATTGTAAGTCAGACTAGGCATATTTAAATCAGCGTATATTACAAACAGGAATAGAACGAAGATATATATTATATTTTAATGTATAAAAAAATGTGGTTCTTAAATGCTTAAGAAGCATGTAGATTTTAATCAAATTACTTTATTTCTTGGAAGAATTATCTAGAGAAAACAAAAACAAAGAGAATTTTCGGGTAAGCTGTTATGCAATGCCAGAGAAGTGGCAAAAGGAGACAATCACGTGGTATATGGCAAAAGAAGAACCGGAAATCCTTGGGTTTACAACTTTCTCGTCGCCATTTTCACTTCCGCTGGATTTCTTCTTCCGGTTTTCTAAGTTTTTGGAATTGAAGAGGAAATGCCCTTCCTCAACTAAGGTGGCAAATGAGGCGCAGGTAGCAACTCCCCTCTTTAAACAAAATTTGTGAATTTTTTTAATATGAGTGTATTACAATTCATTATAGTACATATCACGTGTTTCTGCTTATTTCAGAACTTGTTAAAGACAGCTCTGATAACAAACAGAACTGACTATATAGAAGGTCTTCTGGATTTAAATCTTCCATTATCATCAGATGAAGGTAGTGGGCAAGGGAACTGGCATATAGGTGATTTATACAAGGTCTGTAATATCCTATTTGAAATCCTTTTTTAAAGTTCAATAGACACTATCCTCTAAGTTATGTAATTTGATTTTCCCAAGAGTTTGATATCGAAGGATTTATACTTACATTATTTTTCACACAAAATTTTGCCAATATAGGGAAACTTTTCCGGCAATTGTCTAAGAAATATGTACTACACGTACTAGAAAGGCATCAGAAGCAAATTGAGAGGGAGGCTAAGTGACAATGGGGGGGGGGGTAAATTACAACTTAATCCCAATTTTCAGTGTCTATATTATGTAGATCTTTGCTGAAAAGCGGTCACTTATACCCCTGCTTACGACGACGTTGCATGAAGATAATATTTTAAAAATATAATTCTAATGTTTAATCTTTCAAATTGCCATTATCTCATTTTTGACGAAATTATATTTAAAGCAAATGTACTTAACAATTTAGGTAAAACAAGATAATTGCAACTTTGACATTTTCCCTAATTATAATACACAAAGAAACAGAACGAAAATTAGTATTAACAAATGATATTACTAATTCTAGCATTTTAATTTTTTAGGGATTTTTTGTTTTGGTTTTCAAGTCTTGTTAGTTACATTCTGCCTTTTAATTACAGTTTTCATTCTTTGATTACACGGAAAGAGCGGTCTTTTCAGGAATGCGCTGGGTTTTAAAGGTAAATCTTTTTAATACATTAAACATTAAATTAAACAGCATTGTTCATGAATATATTTTCTATTATTGTTATGTGCACCGAACAAAATGTCAACATTTATTAACACTAAAGAATTTGTGATTTATTCTACAGTAGCTGAAGAAAATATTAAATTTGTTCAGAAGTTATTCCTGCTAAGGAGTTCAATAATACCCTAATTCTTTTATGTATCTAAGCCACCACCATGACTAAATATGGTCATAAATATTTA